GAAGAAGAAGAAGAAGAAGAAGAAGAAGAAGAAGAAGAAGAAGAAGAAGAAGAAGAAGAAGAAGAAGAAGAAGAAGAAGAAGAAGAAGAAGAAGAGTATTACGGTCATATCCCACATCTACCAGATCCTCAAACATGAAATAATAATAGAAAAATTTAAAAATGATAAAAAGGGGAGAAGAGGGAAAGGAGCCAAAAGCCCCCCCCTCAAAAAATGATAGATTTCGTATGTGTCATGGGGATTACGAGACTGAAATCCAGCGTAGCTTATTGATTATAACAGGCAGTATACGTATGTCACGCAGGTGGCTGACATGGGTGGGTTGACAGTGCTCGATCGCCCTGATACACAGCGAGCGAAACAGAACACACATGTAGATTTCCCCTACGTCAGTCTGGCCTACCCTGACATCACATCTAATGCAAAAACACATCACTCTAGCACGTTTCTATAATCCATGATATGCATTGAATCCTATCACTCCCTGAAGGAAATCGTGGTGCAAAAACCAGGGATGTGCATTGTGACCACACTACATGAAAATGAAAGCCCGGGACGTACGGCAGTGTCGTGTGGTAGTGGAGATCGGCTCTGATCGCGTGATATGATAAGGTAAGCAGCAAAAAAACACCCGTGACGAGTTCCCTCGTGGTGGACAAGAAGAAAAAAGTCAAAGAATTGCTCGTGATATGATGTTTTGCGTCCACGGGGCTAATCCTAACCTTCCATCCGTTCTATTTCGAAGTCTCGTTGCCCATGCTCTGCAGTCCATGCTGAAATAATTCGCTTCGTGATGGCCGCGCTGTGGTACGGCTTTGCCTGGCTCTGTCTCGTCCATCTTGCACACGACTAGATAGCGTACTTGCGGGTCCACTCTCTTGCTGTTGCCTCGTACCTTGGACGGTCGGTCTTGTAGACATGTGCGATTTCGGGAACGAGCGGGTCGTCGGGGTTTGGGTCAGTCAACATAGAACAGATCGAGAGCAGCACTGTAAAAACAAATTAGTTATGGTTTGCCTTGATCGTTGACAGAATGAGACTCACCTTTCGATATGGTCAACGCCGGGCTCCACTGGTCTCGCAGGATATCTAAGCAAATGCTACCATTCGAGTTGATGTTGGGGTGGTAGATGCGGGTCGTGAAGTTGACCTTGGGTGGCTTGAACGGGTAGTCTGTGGGGAAATGAATCGCGAGGAAGAATACGCCTCCGGAGTATGGTGAGTCGCTCTTTGTCATGTTAGCCCTAGTATTTGCAGAATGATGCCCAACTGGTTTCATCGAGGAGAACAAACTTACTGGTCCCATGATTGTGGCTTGCCAGTGGAACTAGTAATCGCCGGTCAGTCTGATCTCAACTATCGTTTATATCCGCTGGTCATGGCCATGGCCATGTTGCACCATATGTTGTTGACGGACGGAGAGTGTGGGCTTACCAGATCGTCGCCGATAGGGCCAGCTGAGCATGACGAAGGAGGGTCACTATTTCCATTTGTCAGTATGCATGGTTCCAGTTCAAGGCCCTAGAAGCGCCTGAGATATCACCGTCGCTGTTCGCAGCTGTATTCATCCCAATGTCATGCGAGCAGCCAGGAGCGAGATCGAAGGTGGGATGTCGGGCGGTGAGGGGCAGGGATTTTACGTACCGACCAAGGTCAGTGAGTTCCTTGTTGATTCGCTTGAGAGCCATGGCTGATATAGAGCGAAAGTGTGAGTGGTAAAGGTTTACGGGAAGGTTTTCAGTGAGTCTGCGAGTTCGATGGAGGGTTGAAGAAGGCGAAGCGTATCGGGAGGCTATGTGTAGAAGTGAAGGTTAGCGCCCGTGCTCGAGACTGCCACTGCCGCCGTCCTGAGTGACGTATCAGAGGCACAACTGCTGCAGCATCTAAAGAGTTTGACGCCGCAACTTACCGATCTGGGGGACGTGGCAGTTATGTGAGGTTGTTGTTTTTTCGTCGTTGTTGTTGCGAGCGAGAGCGAAAAGTGGCAAGGTAAAGGGCGCAGGGAAAGGCTTTTGTACGTGCACTGTTCGCGAGCCCGAATAATACGTAGGGCAGGGCTGGTGACGGCTTGGGCTGTAGTGAATGCTATGTTTGCCGCCACAGAAAGACTTCGAAAGTAACCGAAGTCGAGTGCTTACGAGTGTTATTATACAATATCTTTGTCTAGTTCATCTGTGTTTTATGTGCTATACTCGACACAAAGGTACAAAGACACATACTTGATGGATCCATTTGTCACCAGAGATGCACCGTACCGCACCGCCACCTCTAGGCCGGGTTCTGAGGGGGACTCTTGACACTCTTGACTTGCGTAAGGCGGTAAGCGAATGCTGGTGCACATGTTGTATTGTGCTTCTGGTGTGTTCTGATGAAGCTTGCAATTGGGTGGACGCAGGGCAAGATACAGATGGCCTTCTCCATTGTCTGATGATGTTTGCCATAGTCCACGGATGGAACCCCCATGTCGACGAGCAAGTGAAACTCGTGTAAATATAGGCGATGTGATGTGACAGATTGACAGCTGCTTGCAGCAGCATTATCGTATTGCCGACGCTCTCTTCTCTCTCTCACATCCAACTTACGCCTGTGCGCTCATACCACGTTCCCTAGCCGCTCAAGTCTCAAGTGAAAAACATATTATTAGCAGATCGGCCGAACTCGCACTGAACCCCGCCGTGTTTATGCTCTCAATCATTCCACTCCGTCTCACCAGACAACAGCCCTGGAGAGGTCCGCCAGAGGTCCGCCGACCGCCCAGATGCTCACAGCGCGAATTGTCCTCTCCGAAAATATGGTCCACTTACCGAGTTTCGGTGCCTTGTGAGTGTGTGTGTCTTGCAGAAAGAGATCAGCCCGCCCTTGTTGTTGTATGCACGGCGTCAAGCGCTGATTGGCAATAAAGAATCTCGATTAACGGAAAAGAACGCGTTTTGATTGGACTCGCGGCTAAAAGGCTTTGCTCTCTCTCTGCCTCTCTTTCCGAACGACGATGCCGATCATGCCCGACGGCTGTGAACAGCTCGCGGCCTGAGTTCCCTGCTTTGGCAGGACGGGCCATGGGTTATTGGCGCTAGATGGTCTATCCAGTCCCCAAGGCCGACGAACAGCTCTGGAACCCGCTGTTTGCGATGCCCTATGACTTCAGCATCGCATCGAAGATCGAGATTGAACGCGTACATCTCTTTCGCATCCGCACTCACACGTCATAGTTGACTGGTGCTGAGCGGCTAGAGTTTTAACATTCGTCTTGTCAATGGCCTAATCAAGAGCACCAACAGCAGATGCAAATTTGCCTGCTCCTTCGCTCACGCCGCGTGCCGTGCGACACAGGTGCCAGGACACACACACTGGAGACAGAACACTGGACCAAGCATTACCGCAGTCGGCGTCTCGCAGCACATGCCGGGCGACAAGGCCGAGACCAGCACAAAAAGAAAGACGAGAGATACCCCACTGCAACACAAATCACAGTTCGTCGTCGCCTTCTGACAGGCTGTCCTAGCGCGCTGGGGCGGTATGAGGCTGACTTGGGGCTGCATGTGGAGAGTGAGCTGACTGGGAGACGCGTTGACGCGACCGTAAACAGTCTTCCCAAAACGCAAAACCTCGTGACATCACGCAGGGATTCCCCTCTTTGCCGGCTCCCAGCCCCCACCTGCAAATGCTTCCATCACCGTCGCCAGCCTCGACCGTTTCAAAGCCCAGCTCGTCCAATTCCATCTCAAACACCACGACCACTCGCCGTCATCACCTGCCTAGGTGGTAATTACCTGTTCCAGACTTTGTAGAGATGCAGTGTAGGTGTGACCCCCCTCCTCACGTGCTGACAATTATGCACTTGTAATGCTACTTGTATATATGCTTTGGCCAGTGAGCATAGCACTACAGAATCGTCGCCTGCGGATGAGGCACAGCCCCACATGGATCACGAAGCCTGTTGCTGGTGGAAACGCTGCACGCCTGCGACGCAACCGGCGGCCATACGGCGTACCTATCCTTCAAAACCTTGCCCTTGCGTGCGTGAGCTGACGGAGTCCTCACCATGTTCATGATTCAGAGCCCGGACACGCTCTTCGGATATCGCTACTCCATCCACCTGCTGGCGAGGGATGTCAGACATGCAGGGACCGGTGTTTCGGACGCATAGTGAGTGACCTATGTCAGTGCTTCAACTGAAAAAGCTTGGCTCAGTCCGTTCAACATGCTCAAAGCTCAGTTCATGAAGCGAATTATGAAGATGATGATGAAAGGACATGTAGCTAGCCGTTTGTGGTTATCGGACCTGCGTTAGGTAGAATATTTGTCGAGCCACAACTGTCAGACAATGTTCACGCCTATATTCCTAATTAGGACTTGTATAAACCATAAGACCAGCTTCCCTCCCTATGTATAGTAAGTAAGTACATGGACCGTCCAGGGAACATGCGACTCTCATTCTTATCTGGCCTCCAATGCAGCAGAAAGCACGTGCGCCTACGAATATGTCATCGTACGATGCTCTGACACTGACTTGAACCCTGCTTAGACTCACTCTTTCACTAACGAACAAACAAAAGATGCATACGAACAAGGTAAGCGGGTCTCGGAAGTCACAGACATTATTTTCTGCAAATTGCAAACACTACACTGTTCAAACTTACACAGCAGCCAGCAACAAAAGCAGGTTTCTTTTGATGCGTAATCATACTATGTTCAATCAACCACACGTCATCACTATAGATCGCGATCCAGAAGATGAGCCTGAAATTTCTTTACAAGCCAAGCATCGACGATACAAAGATCTCATCGCAGCCGAAGCAGCCCATCCTCAAGGATCCCTATTCTACCACCAAGAACTTTCCGGTGTTTGTTTACATGGCCCAATTCCAGCATATTGTACGGAGAACAAATATTCATAAAAAAAAGGTTGCCCCATTGGCGGCCGGCGAAAACGCCGAATCCCCACACATCAAACGAAGTCTTATGTAACATTCCACAAATAATTCCCTCGCCTCATGAGTCCTACTATTGCATTCAATACGGGCATATACTGACGCTTAAAAACTACGACATTTGCTCCGTAGCATTCTCCGACTTGCGTCTGTAGTGTATGGACCGTGAAATGCCCGCCCGAAAACACAAATTTCTCCTTTGGGAACAGCGCGCTAGGTAGGCTTCGGTTCCACGTGAGAGCGTGTGGCGTGACGCGTTCTAAGACCTGGCTGCGCGATCGACGCCACGATGTTGATCAAAGATTGCGACATCGCCCGCTCAAAACAGCCCTACACGGCCATTCTATTCTCCATTTTTGTAATTGTTTACCACTCAACACTGCGATGATATCATGAACCTTGCCAATACAGTCTTGCCGTCTACTTGCCTCTAAGTCCCACCCCAAAACAACGTTTGTTGACAATCGAGCCATAGGCCGGCCAAACACAATAAATTAGCAGAGAAGGAAAAACAATGCCCTCCAATCCCTCGAGACCATCCCACAACCCCACCACAAAAGCCGCCCAGCCCACTCGTAGATTCTTCGACCCCTGGAATAGCTCCTCGACCGGCCACCAGCGCGCTGAAAACGTTCTGTCTGGCAGCACTTCATGGCGAGACTCGCGGAACCGCAAATTAGCTGAACAGTATCGCGGCGGCTATGGAGGCGGCACTCGCGTAGCAGATAGTGTTGGGGCTGGCAGTCCTGACTTTGGTAAAGATGGCCGAAAGCCGAATGGCGGCTGGGAGAAGGGTCGCGCCCCACGGGAGCCAGGCCAGAAGGCCATCATGGACGTTGGGCAGTGGGGATTGAAGGTTGCAAAGGTTGGTGCGCAGTCGAAAGACAAGAGCAAGTCCCTGGACGAAAACGCTAGCTGGGAAAGCCCGTTCGTAGAGAAGAGCCAGTATTCGGATGCTGGAGACGACATGAGCATACCTCCTCCATCTGCACAGAGTTCAGAGCACACAGACCATCCTGAAAAGCCTGAGGCGTCGACTCAACCAAAGCCACAGATCTTCACAAACCTAACTTTCTATATTAACGGTAGCACGGGACCATACATATCCGACCATAAGTTAAGATATTTGCTCAGTGAGCACGGCGCCAGCACCTCTATAGCTCTCGCTCGGCGGCAGGTCACGCATGTCATTCTGGGTACGCCCTCCATACACTCGATGAAATCAGGCGCCGGAGGTGGACTCGCAAGCTCAAAGATTCAAAAAGAGATTCAACGAGTCAGAGGCAAAGGCGTCAAATACATAAGTGCTGAATGGGTTGTCGAAAGCATCAAAGCTGGTAAGAGGCTACCAGAGACACGATTCGCTCGTAACGCTGGTGTGGACATTGGAAAGGCGAAGGGACAAGGGAGTGTTTTCGACATGCTTCAACATGGGTGAAGCACTTGCAAGATCATCACAGCTAGAATTCGGCTGATCACGATAATGAGATTTTGAGCAAGGTATAAAGCTACGGAAACGCTAATTCGCGCTCACACGAGACGGAAGGAAGATCATCCACGTACGATCAATGAGCCTGTAACCATCCAAGCATTTCAGAGTATGCTTGAGTTTGCGAGCTCTTGATCTTTGCGTCATCGTAGTCACCAAGTACTGCGAAGCCATGTGGCACGCCTGAGTACAGCTTTACCTCGTGCTCAATCTTGTTGGTTTCCAGCGTCTTGACGCCCTCCTTTCGAATCTCGTCAGGGAACAATGGGTCGTTCTCGATCGCAACGACATATGTTGGGACTTTCAGCCCTTCGATATCTTCCTGAGTCACAAGAGTGCCTAGATGCTTAGTACCTTTCCCTGTACGCAGGATTATATAACATACCATGAGCAATAGCACCAGCCTTGAGCACAGGCGGCTGCTTCATGTTTCCTTGCTCCTCGTCGGCCTTGGCTGCGCCAGTATCCGCAACCTCTGCGCCTAGCAACAGGATATATTTGGCACCAAAGCAGTATCCCACACCGTATATTCCGTTGCCATTCGCGACTGCGTCCGCGAATTCCTCTTTTGCAGCACCTACGACCTTGTGAAGAATTGGGAGTACCTTCTCTGGAGTATGTCTTGCCAGCCACATGTCAATCAAGAATGCTTTTGCGCCCTCTGCGAACCCAAGTTTTACTTGTTCAAGGAATGATGGGTTGGATTCGGCGGGAATCTCTGTAGATGAGTTGGGTGCTGGGTCGCCGCCGAACTGGTCAGGCATGATAACGAGGAAGCCTTCGGACGCATATTTGTCGGCCTGGAGCTGGTTGTTTGTGGATTTGATGCCAGTTCCTCCAGTAAGCATCAACAAGAGCTTAGAGGGCGAATGTGGATAATCGCTCGGCTTGGCTATATAGACCTACGAATTGAGCACGTCAGTCTCTTCTCATGACAAGTCCGAGACACTCACATCTACGTCTCCGAGCTTTGAGAACTCCTAGGAAAGCCATGAGCATGTATGTACGTTTCGTCACATCAAGGGTGGGTACAAACGCCAGTGGGGGCCTCTCCGGCAGCTGAGTCTGTCAGCTGCTACACCAGATTATTGGGCATATGTGAAGACGTACGAGTTGGTCGGTCCATCGTGCAATGCTCCTGTATATTGCATTAGAACCGTGGTCGCATTAGTCTCTTCCATGGGGCGCTTACACCCATACTTGGACCCTCTTGAGCTGGGGTGTCTCCAGGGAAGACACTTCCCTCAGCAGCATCACTCTCCGGTGCCTTCGTCGCTATATCGTCTTCTGCCATGGTATCGATTATTTATGGGATTTGAAACTGTGTCTGTGATTCTGTGATGTCAGATCCATACGTCTTGTTGCCGCTCGGGCTCGCCGTAGTGGGATGCGCCTCTACGGCAGGCCATTATGACATCTTTTGCAAGAGCCCCGCGATCTCGCGTGTACCTTGCCTAGCGCGACCTTAATTGAATGACGCGACTGAACGCGTTATCCGCCCGCCGCCACTTCGCAAACTTGAAAATAAACCAGACGACTTGACTGTCTTCAACTAACCAGGTCAGATACGAAGTATAGCTGCAAGAGGAGACTGGTAAAAGATGGCTGCACAAGCAATAAGTCAAGGGTCCCTCAGGTAAGTCTTTCAGACGACCAAGGCTCATTCATCTAATCGAGTGGACAGGGCCATCTTTGAAGGAACGCCATCAGCAAATCCAATTCTACAATGCGTACAAATCAAGGCTATGGAGAACAAGTCTGGAGAAGGCGAAAGATATCGCATCGTTCTCTCTGACATCTCCAACTTTATTCAAACAATGATGGCAACCCGTAAGTCGCACAGGTCGCATTGTGTTGATCAGGCTGACATGCTGCAGAGTCAAATCACATCGTGACAGACGGTGGACTCAAGAAGGGCTCCATCGTCCGGCTGACAGGCTATAACCCACAGATTGTAAAGGGCAAGAAGTATGGAACTCAGAACCAGTCTTCGAGATATAGAATGCTGATCATAGCAGAATTCTCATCATTCTTGACCTCGAAGTTCTTGAAGAGTATGGTGAAGTCGACAAGATTGGCGAGCCTGTAGCTCTTGATCCCAAGCCTGGCGAGCAAGTTGAAGCCAAAGCACAACCCAGCGCGATATCTGGTACAAACTTTTACGGTAACAAGCCAGCCCAACCACCCGTACAGCAACAGCAGCAACCACAGCGATCTTTACCTTCTCATCCGTCTGGGCCTGCGGCAGGCGGGAACACGAACTTATACCCTATCGAGGCACTGTCGCCGTATGCACACAAGTGGACAATCAAAGCTCGATGCACACACAAGTCAGATATCAAGCATTGGCACAAAAAGACTGGTGAAGGGAAGCTCTTCAGCGTCAACCTCCTAGATGACAGTGGCGAGATCAAGGCTACTGGTTTCAATGAGCAATGCGACGCTCTCTATGATGTCTTTCAAGAAGGTGGCGTCTACTTCATTTCCAGCCCTTGCAGGGTGAACCTGGCAAAGAAGCAATTCTCGAACCTCAACAACGACTATGAGCTAAGCTTCGAGAGAGACACTGCTGTAGAGAAGGCTCAAGAGCAAAGTGATGTGCCACAAGTCAGATTCAATTTTACCAGCATTGGAGATCTTGAGTCGGTCGAAAAGGAAACCACAATCGATACTATCGGAGTCTTAAAGGATGTTGGCGAGGTCAGCGAGATTGTGTCCAAGACTACGAACAAGCCTTACAACAAACGCGAGATTACACTGGTGGATAATTCCCTGCGATCGGTTCGTATGACGTTATGGAATCAGAGCGCCATCCAGTTCGAGGTGCCGCTTGAGTCGGTGATTGCCTTCAAAGGTGTCAAGGTCTCTGATTTCGGTGGTCGAAGCTTGAGTCTGCTAGCCTCTGGAACCATGAAGGTGGACCCTGATATTGATGAAGCACACAAGCTTAAGGGGTGGTACGATGCCCAAGGTCGTCAAGACAACTTCCAATCGCACGCTTCTACGATGGGCGCAGGTTCCGGAGGTAACCGTAACGAGTACAAGACAATCGCTCAAGTCGCTGAAGAGGGCATCGGCATGAACTCGGAGAAAGCTGAGTACTTCAATCTCAAGGCAACCGTTCTCTATGTCCGGAGTGAGAATTTCGCATATCCGGCATGCTCATCAGGGGACTGTAACAAGAAGGTTGTTGAAGTCGAAGAGAACGAGTGGCGATGTGAGAAGTGCGACAAGTCATTCCCCAAGCCCAACTATCGTTACGTCCTGAGCTTCAATGTCAGCGATCATACCGGTCAGATGTGGCTGAGCGGTTTCGATGATGCTGGGCGATTGATCATGGGCATGGATGCGAACGAACTTATGGAAATCAAGAATGAAGACGAATCGAAAGTAGCCGAATTGTTACAGGATGCCACGTGCAAGACATACAATTTCAGTGTCCGAGCTAGGATGGACACATATAATGATCAGCAACGGTGAGTCTCGAATTTACACATCTGCAATGATTCCGAATGGATGGAGACTAATAGTCATCTAGAGTGAGGCATCAGGTCCAAACCGCCAGCTCGCTCGACTTCCCCCGTGAGTGTAGTAGGCTCGCAGACATTCTGAAGCAGTACAACCTGAATTCAGACAGCCTTTTTGTCAATTAGGATGTACAGAACTGACGGGACAAATTCACGGCTATCATGGCATATTAGCGTTATTTGCGACGTGTTTGAGAGTAACAGGACGACCTGTAGCGAAATACTTCATCAGCAGACAGGAGTTGCTAAGCAGGCAATATTCCTGGTACGTACAACAAACTCCCTACATACAGAGGCACTACAGTGACTCTTCCTGATTGCAAGCGGAAATGGCATTCCTTATTTAGAATGATGACCAAGATCCGGCTTGCACTGCATATGCTCCTGTCCAATGTCGTTCCGTGACATATTCCTGAGGGCGTCTCGGATGATCGGGCTCACTAATAACAATAGCTCCTGTTTCGGAGGTCTATCCCAGATGAAATTGAACCTATCCAATTGTCCAACTGCCCCGCATGCCCCACTATACTGCCATTCCAGCCGTCATAACCTCGTCGAATGCTGCCATATACATATCAGCTGCCGAGCAATGCCAAAGCATTCTCTTCTCCATTCTTTACCTTTCCCAATTGACACTTCCAGATGTCTCCAACGATGCGCGCAGTCGGTAAGTTTAGCTTTGATGCCTACATCCTCCATTACATTTCACTACAACAAGCCTCTCCACTGACATTCCCCTCCCAGAAATTAAGAATGGCAAAGGCAATGCCGACAGCCTGTATCACACCGATGTGCCCAAGCCCACGCCAAAGGGCTCCGAAGCTCTCGTGAAGATCAAGGCTTTTGGGCTCAATCGCATGGACCTGCTCCAGCGCGAGGGCCAATACCCGGTTCCGCCTCAGGCCAGCAAGATCCTCGGTGTGGAATTCTCGGGCGTGATTGAGAGTTTCGGGGGGGATGCGGAGCGAGGTTTCAAGGTTGGTGATGAGGTTTTTGGACTCGCTTATGGAGGTAGGTGTTTGTGTTGTTTGTTTGTTTGTGTTTGCAAGGAGTGCTGTTGCTGTGTATATGGATAGAGAGGATGCTGAGATTTAGTGAAGGGGCTTATGCTGAATACATCGCTGTGTCGACGCACATGCTGGTACACAAGCCTAAAGAGCTCTCGTGGGAGGAGTGTGCTGGTATTCCAGAGGTAAGAGAAACCGTTCATTTCATCCGTCATACATGATAGATCTCGGCTGACCCATCATCTCCACAGACCTGGATAACAGCAACCCAAGCAATCTACCTTATCGGCCAGTACAAGCCCGGCGACTCGATCCTCTGGCACGCGGGCGGGTCCTCAGTCTCACTCTCCGGGATCCAGCTCTCCCACGCCGATTCTCCGTCCGGTGTCTTCGCTACCACGCGGTCCGACGAGAAGAACGATTTCCTCGTCAAGGAACTAGGCGTCAAGGCTGCCTTCAACACGAAGACGTCGCTGGACTGGGCAGACGAGGTGCTCAAGGCAACGGATGGCAAGGGCGTAGACATCATTGTCGACTTCATCGGCGCGGACACGTTCGGACCGAACCTGAAGGCGATTGCAAAGGACGGCCGGATCGTCATGCTGGGCTTCATGAGCGGTGCCGAGATCCCAGCGGGTGTCAGTCTGGGTCCGTTCATCGCGAAGAGGATCAGGTATGAAGGGAGTAGCCTGAGGAGTAGGGACGAGGAGTATCAGGGCAAGCTCCGGGATCAGCTTGTTGAGCATGCGCTGCCGCGGTTCAAGGACAAGCGGTTCAAGGTGTTTGTCGAGAAGGTGTTCAAGTGGGAGGACGTCATTGATGCGCACAAGTTGATGGAGAGCAATCAGACAAAGGGAAAGATTATCTGTACGATTAGTTGAGGTACCCCGATTTGCATGCGGTTGGGATAAGCTTTGCCAAGATCTTGTTCATGGCATGGCTTATGACTTCAGGTGCTCCGGTTATCCGCATGTATGCACCCTACGTCGGACCTGTGCATATTTCTGCTGCATATATCATGGTTCGATGTACAACACTTACGAATTCGCACACTACTGAGACTACTACCCTCACCGAATGTCTATTCAAGGGGTCCCACCCCCCTTTCCCCCTTATATACACATCTATCGCCTACATTCACGCTGATTCTGTATATTCGGTGGACTTAACGGACCTGTTAAGAAATCATAGAAGAACACCTGACAGTCCTCTCACTCCTCCAACAACAAAAGTAGCAGACAACAGCAGAGCATCATGCACTTACGTAGTCCACGTTGTCTAGAACAGACAATCCGAGGTTTGAAGGTTGTAGCATGTGAGGTTTCCAGGGGGGGGAAGGATATGTTAGTAAGACAGTGTGATACACTAGGCACTGGGCTCCTGCTGTTCACACAGTGCACTCATCACCATCTATATCAGCAGGGCTCGAAGATGGAAGGTGTGTGTAGGTCTGAGGACAGCCAGCCGTCGCTCAAGAATTTGTGATTAACTAATGATCCGCTCCCACCCACTTACTCACACTCGCCATGATGGACCATAAGCCAGCACTATGAATGAATACATGTCCAGTCATTCATCTACTGATCCTCCGGGGTTGGCAGAATAGGACGTCTCGCCAACAGTAGCGGAAAATTCTGTTGGAGCCACATGTGAATGTTATTTCGAAAGATCTCCGCTTCCCGCAAACCATATGGGTGATCCCTCAATTCCGGTGAAAGCAGGGTGACAACGTTGTAATAGCGATTTTGAAGATACCCATGCATGCTCAGGAAGTTAAATATGTGTGACTGGACGTCTACCAAATCGAAATTATTGGGCAGGCGGTCAAAGCTGAGGTTGAAAACCAAAGTCTGTACTTGGGGTGTTGGCTGACCACTCGTTTCGACTTCGGCTCTTGCTGGATAACCCAGATGCGACGCATTTCTGAGTGCAATCCACATCATATAAGTGTCTGGTGGAAAGAGTGGACTGTTGCTCATGGCTGGGTCTCGGGGTAATGGACTTTGGTAAATGTATAGGGCGAGAGATGTGTAGGAATGGCGATGTTTTGGACCGCTGGCGGGGGCTGGAGTGATATATTGAAGGTTGAGTATTGGTGAGGTCTATCGTCTTATTGTGAGACTGCGTTGTATATGGAAGACGGTGGAGGCACCTCTTAAGTATTTGGATACAGTCTTGTGAATAACCGTGTAATGCCATCCACGAGCAGTCATGTCCACGGTCCTGAGACATGCACTACATTCAAAAGCCACGTACCGGACAGTCGCTAATTCACCGTGGCGTCAAGCGTCACATTCCGACATTGAACAGCTGTGGTATCTTAATGATAATGAGAAATAGATATACATTATAAGATTTCACAGCTCCTTTGGTTAGGACAGCATATATTACTGTCGTCTTCTTCACCGGCTTCGAGCTTTGGAATGGACGGAACTTTCGAGCAAGCCCTCACAACTCAGGCTCAAATATTGAATACGATTCGCTTAAGTTGTGCAACTCTTGTTATGAAGAAAGAGTAACGGTTTCACCTATCGTAAACAAATGTACGAGCGAAGTCACAGCCATTGAAAGAAGATTTTGAGCTATGGTTGTATTCATAGTTCTCCCTTAGTCATTACTGCTCGTCATGATCCTGATATGCGTCCACAATTCTTATCGACCTCGTCCAATCACACCACACTATCCCATCCATCATCTATTTACAAGTGACTCTTGATGAAGTCCTCGAGAACACCAGTGTTGGCATAGACACCCACAAAGCCTGGCCGAGCACAGCCTTGACCCCACGACACAACACCAACAAGCGTCTTGCTCGCATCGAAGAGAGGACCACCGCTGTCGCCCTGGCACGAGTCCTTGCCACCTTCCGTGGGCCCGGCACACAACATAGTGTTACTGATTTTTGCGTCGCCGTACTCGGCCTTGCACTCCCCAGGAGAGATGACTGGCAAATCGACCTTCCGCAGGCTCTCAGGGGCGCCACTGACGCCTTCCTTAGTCGTACCCCAACCAGCAACAGTCACGGTTGACCCAGTCGCAGGAGAGGAACCCGCTTCAGGGAGCGAGGCGTAGGCGATACCTTCGATCGGGGTTGAGAGTTTCCAGATTGCGACATCTGAGTCAAGCTTGATGGCCTTGCTATATGCGGGATGAACGATGATCTCAGAGACTTCAGAGGTGACACCGCCGGAAGCCCATTTCTTTGAAGCAAGTTAGCCTTGTAAGACTTTGGAATAACAAGAGTGTAGGTTGAAGACGTACAAGGGATCCTGCGCGGACTGTGATGCCGCTGGGGCTCTGTTGGGAGCAGTGAGCTGCTGTGAGTACGGTGTTGGCATTCAACAGAGAGCCACCACAGAAGTGCGTGCCGCTTTTCTGTAGAGAGACTATGAACGGAACGTCGCCTTCAGCAGCGGCCTCACCGCCGACAATCTGGACTGATACTTGAGGGGCGGGGAAAGCTGCGGCGATGGCAGGCAACAGAAGAGCTGCGGTGCGGGTGATAGTAGAAACCATGATGGCACCTGGGAGTGAAATATGATTCCGAAGGGGAGAGTTGCGTTTGAGGCTAGTGTGGTCCTGGAGCTGAGTCCTTTCAATGTTGAGGAGGGCGCTGAGGTGCCTTTTACTAGATTTGAGGCGTCTTCGAAGCCGTATTTATATCTGTACCAAAAGCACAGCCTTCCGACGTCGGATATACTACACACGACGGCCATCTTAGAGTTCAATCTCCCCCTTGCTTACTCTAGCTGAGACGAAATTGAAGACTTGTTTTCAGGTACCATAAAATGCACGACAGGCGCAGCCAGCCCTGGCTTTGCTTCCTGTCACCGGGCGCATGGTGTTGCCAAGCTGTATCTTCCCTGTCCATATCCGGTAGATCAACGTCGACGCCGCCAGAAGTAGGCAGGTCCCACTGCCATGTCACAATAACATATGGCTACATTTCTGGGAACCAGGACCGCGAAATGGGGGTGGGTCAACTAATGATAAGCCTGTGAGAGAGCTTGTCCAGTGGGCATGCGTGCCCGCGCGTACCAAGTGTTCAAGCATTGATTCATGATCTATGAATCTAGGCGACGGCGTCTACATGCGCCCTGTGCGTCCTGCAATCTCTTCGTCATGTGGCTGCAAATGGTGTTTTTCGTCGTCGCGGTTGGGACGCCCGAGCGGCGAATTACCCAATGTGGTAGGTAAATAAGACACAAGCACCGCAGTGACATTCCAAGCGGTAACGTAAAAAATGATCTACCAGATCAACAACCTGCATAGGGCAAGTCACTGCGTGTGCAAGATTCTAGGCGATAAGGATGGAAGAAGGATTCGAAGACAAGCATAAAGATACTTAGGAGATGACTGGACGAGGCTCTACTACTCCACAGAACCGTAATGTCGTGCGACTGTGGCACAGATCTTGCATCCATGAACACGAGGTCTTACTGTGTAGAACCTAATATTCCCCTGCCTGCGGCACTCGACATATTTGGGTTGTCTTAGTTAAATTCCAACAGACTTTGGAACGATTATGTTCTGGCTCAACTGCGCCGGTACCTCGCATTATCGCCTGCCGTGTCTGGTAATGTGCTCAAACATTAGTTGGCAATAGCACGTGTCTCTGATAAAGTAGCGTTGTATAGTAGATAGCATACTAAACCCTATATCCGCACGATCGGCCATCTATAGCGATGCATGATGGACCGTAGACGGATAGATGCCCCTCGACGCTGATATCGGCTTGCCCGACAAGTGGATCTTAGAAAGTAGTCCGGTCCAATCACTCTATGCGCTGTATTATGCTCTATATCTCTCGTAAAATGGTATCATCGACAACGATAATGGAGTAACCTTCTCGAAGCCTGTTGATAACAAGAATGAAGACGCACTTTGCGCCGACCGGAATCCGCCCCCCACGCATTGCAACTGTCGACATGAGTACTCCTCTAGGAAGGACACGATGTTGCAGGTACATCAACTATTATGCCTGTGTGTTGTGTACGAGGGTGCTCAGCGATGCTCGAGTGGAATGTATGGAATGTATACCGAGCTCTGGCACGTAAAGTGGTCTGATCTTTTAATGCATAGCAGTGCCTCTATCCGATGCGCGTACAGTTGACCTCTTAGCATCCTTGTGAGTATCACCTGCAGGGCAGGCTCCTATGCTTCCTCCTCTTCTCGACCATCTGCTCTCTTAAGTATTCAATCATCGAGTCTTGCCATACGGAGCGGGGCCAATGCACGAAGACACCGCGACCAGATACGGGTCTTGTTGCGTCATTCGGTACCAAAAGCTCTGTACGAGCATGTCTGCGCAACACGAATACACGCGACTGTGTGATTTTTGTTGTAGCAATCTTTGCTAGGTCAAGGCTGCCAAGCGTGTCTTTCGCGTCGAGATACAGTCTATCCGCTCGGTCGTGGGGCTGTACAATAGCTGTGAACGCTCTTGTAGATACTTGAGAAAGAACAAGGTGGTGATGCGTTACAACTCTTGACGATCTAGGGATGAGGCGCGTGTGAAGCTTGGACGTATTACAGCAAAAGGGCTGTTTTAAGGTCCGTCCGCCCTTAACATCCATGGATGGTCAGTGTAACTCTTGGCATGCGTCAATATAACTATCTATATCTTTTCCCCTAAACTCTTCTAATATTCTTATGTGAACAAATATACTTCTGAATATAGTTTTGCTTCGCATATCTAGAGAAAGAAGTATAAGAGAAAACCATAAACAAGATATTCTTAACAAGACTCTTTTAAAAATTTGAAGAGAAGATTGAGAATATGGTATAGATTTCTCTATTATTACTTGTTGTTTTTGAGATCTTCTAAAAGTACTTCTAGATCGTAACAGGTAGTATAAGCCCGTCAAGAAAATACACCAATAATGATAAACTATGTTGACAGGTGTGTTGCTCGCTATACTTGGAACAGCCACCGGATCCTGTGGATTGGCCTGCTACACAAATGAATAGACACTGATACGCGTCGCTCCACTCTCCACGAGCCTCTGCTTAACCGACTTCATTATTCTTGACCTCTGAAATGCGCCTATGTATCCCCAACGCAGGCCTTGTCATACTGCCTCACACATCGCGGTGTCTGCGAGACGGGAACCGTGATGAGTATGATACCTACTCGACTCCATACCACATCAAGATTCTTCGCGTGCATATCCTGGCTTTCGTGATTACTTTGTACCTCTTATATCATTCTCTCTCGACCTCCTTGACTATATCTTGGTTAGTCTATGCATGCTAAACGTATAGCAATGGGCACAACACTCTGAACTATACTCTTGGAGTATGTGCTTCTTGTCATGTTATAGTGAATCCAGCTCTAGCGGGTATATAGCCCGAGAAGATCTTCGCACTAATCTGTCATCGCGACACCGTGATGCAGGCCAGTCGATTAAGTGATTTGAGCGTTATTTAGATCGATGATGCCAATGGGATAATGTAGCTGGTAAGGCACTTCCTCTTGGAGGACATGTCGATGCTGCGTGAGATATGCCTCAGGTCGGATGGGCGTGAACGTGAGAAGTGTTTACAGTGTAGCCGTCGCTGTATAACCATCACTGTCCGTGAGGCCTGAAGGGCACATGCAGCGATAGCTCGGGTGTTCCGAGGGCTGAGGCCTTGAATGAGGCCGGATTCAGGAAACATGATGCAGTGAAGTCATTTTATCGAAGCTAGTCAATGGTGCCAGTATAGAGCCAAAGCATCCCCATCTGTATATAGTTGCGACTTTGTCGGACTCGAGTGTCCGAAGCTGTGTAAAGCTTTGACACAGGGTTTCATCGTGGCATTCACAAGACCCTCTTGACAGATACAGGCTGATAGTTGTGACCCGTGTAATTAACGAGAGGAGAACTTATGATATGGTCTCAACCACCTGCCTCTAAGTCCTCTCGACTCAAGCCCTTGAACTCCGGCCAGAACACCGTCGCAATATCGTCGCCGTCCAAAAATGTCCAGCTCATCTCTGCAAACCACATGTTAGCCGTGGAGAGATTCGCTTCAACGTCTCTGAGATTATCTTCATCGCTCAAATCCAGCCGCGCGAAATTATAGCCAGGTGTTTCGCGCGCGATAAGGTGTCCATTCTCGACCCGATGCCAGTATTTGATATCGTCAGCGAACAACAGATACGGGGGGTCTTCTCCGTCGTGCTCGTCGCTGCCCAATGACATACGCTCGTCCCATGGTGCGTCGCGGACCCTGGGCCACCACGTCATTAGGCTCTTGAGCGCATGCTTGTCGATGGCACCAAAGTAGTTTGGCGGCTTAGAGTATTTGCGGAATGCCGGAGAGTCAAAGTATGCGAGCAGCGACTCCATGCTGTCGTTTTCGAGAGCCAGCTCAATGAACTGCCCGGCGCTGCCTTCGATTCTGAGCAGCGACTTCAGGGCGCGCAGCTCGAGTGCTGTGACGGGGCAGATGATGAAGACGAGGAACTCTGCTCCGCTTCGTCCGCCGTAGATGGGCACCGACGGTGGGGCGATGGACGTGTATGGATAAGATGCCTCGGCGCGTGACCATTCTCTGTAAGGTGCTCTATCGAACGCCCAGTTGACCTCAACGCCGTTGACAGAGCCGCGCTTGGGCGGAGGATTCCATATCATATGCCAAGTCTCTCTAACGTGTTGTGCGCCCCGGAAGCAACCTGTGATGAGCTGAAGGTCGTAGATGCGGTCGAAGTCATTGTCATTTGAGATTTGCTGCTTGATGTAGAAGACTATGGGCTCGCGTTTCGGGCCTTCGATAAATTCTGTGTCGATGAAGAGCACAAACGTCTCCCCGCAGGGCGAGATCATCGGGGGCTTGACGTGTTGGAAGATGTTGTAGGTTTCGGTGTGAGAGGCCGGAGTATCGTGTGGCCAGTTGTATATTACAATCTCGTGATTTGCATCGTTCATGAGTGCTCTGAGTTTGACAATTTCGTCGTCAGTGAGCTTGACTAGGGAGAAAAGTGTGATGACCTTCTCGTCGAGTCGAATGTCAGATGGGATATGTGCAGGCAGAGGTCCAACAACGTCAGGGGTATCGTGAGTCAAAGAAGGTCTACTGCCAACATCGACTACGGAATACGAGTAAGAGGAAAACAATTGGTCCAAGGTAGATTTCCAGGGCTCTTTTTTCAGAAGCACGGCAACTGCAGCGTCAAATGCAGCACTCACACACCCATAGCGATCAGAGTTCTGTGCTGGGTGAACAACATAGAGACGTTTAGTCTCACGGAAATCGCTTGTTGCGACCAAGAACCAATCGCCGGTATCTGGTTCCAGATTCAGGACCATAGACTTGACATCCGCGACAGTAGGTTCATAATTCCGTATCCAGGGCACACCATGAATAGTCTTCTTCGCCAGCCCAGGATCATCCGTAGTCAAGCTCTCCACGATAGCATTAAGTTCATGTTCAAAATCCTTGCGATCGTCGGCATCGTTGCGCACAAACCAAAGCAAGGGAATGTGCTCTGGATGATATTGGAGAACGATCCGGGGATATCGTTTCTCAGCCATTTTGCAGCGCGACAGTCAAGAAGTGAAATGATCGGTGAGTGTAAGATGAGTCGTGTTCAGACATGGCCCAGTTTGAGTAGAAGATATAGTGGTCCACTACTTAATTACTGCTTTGCAGCCTAGAACGCGTCGCGAGCCGTGATGTTGGCTTTTCGGTTGGCGTTTATAAGCCTCAGGCATCAACTTACTGAAGTCAAGAATTTCACCTCAAATAGTTTCGATTTTTACGATTCATCGGCGCCCTACGACTAGGCGCCACTATTGAATATCAAATATAGAGCTTCAATTTAAGCTCTGTCTAATTTCACGTATCACACTAATCAAGGCCTTGCAAGGCTGTGCCACATCCACTAACGAGCATTCCAGCGACAAGGCACAGTCATGCCGAGAGGTAGACCAGGTTCAAGGATCCATATATATATACAGACCTGGTGCACAGTCGTAGTGGCATGCTTGTTTACCGCCAGTCGCTGAGTCGAAGAAGCACAACGCGCTGCTACGATGCCCTGGCAGAACGAGGTAAAGAGAAGCATCGACTGATTTTAGGTTTCACATCGCGCCGCCAATGCATAATATGGAAAGGCTGCAGGATCCTCGTACATATCTAAAAACGATAGGGATGACTGTGCCGTATAAGGCACGCTGTGTAATATGAGCACGGCGACGTTTGGTAAATGAAATATGGACATGTCAACATCGCCTCCTTCACGTCTTACGTTGTCGAAATAGACTACATCTGTTCCGAGTACAAAATTACACAGCTTTTTCTGCATCCATACATACACACACATACATATGCATATACTATTTTCCCCATGTGGTATCTCATAGTGTCCAATTTGCTACTAAGCCATGTCGCGGCAGACATCGTCAACTTCATCCAGCCCTCTTCCAGCTCTATATGGAAGCTCGACAGCCATGAAACAATCGAATTCACAACCGCGCTATCCGACTACACAATCTTGCTCGTCCAACACAACCAACAGAGCAATACCACGCTTTCCCATCCCATCGCAACCTCAGGTCAGGCAGTCCCTTGTCCACAAACCCTCTCATGTCCCATCCCCTAGACTAACCGGCTCGCAGGTAATGTTACTACCGACGGCTCGATGCACACGTACCCATGGACTGTCCAGCGCTACTCCTTTGACCTCTCCGTGTCACCTAAATTCCTCATCCATGTAGGAGCGGATGGAGATGATATTGAAGATACCTCGCCCCGCTTCACCATCGCCCAAGCCGATTCTACGACGTCGACGGACACGCCTGTCTCGAACTTGGGTGTATATGTTGAAGCTACTGCGCTTTCCAAATCGACGAGGAGGAAGGGGCCTGCGCCATGGAAGTTTGGGGTGGGGTTCGGGGTTCTGTTGGCTGCTCTGGTGGGATTGATGTGTTTTTGCTATCCATGCTGGAGGAAGGGAGTGGCGGAGAAGAAGGAGGTAGCTATTGTTGGTGATGATGACAAAGAGAAAGGGTTACCGGGACATGAGGAGACTGTTACAGTGAAAGGGAGACGGTACAGTAGTGAGTCGTGAGTTACGGCCGTGGATGCATGAGTGATGGGCTGAGATGATCTGTTTGTCTTCATGAAAGTGTGATTCTTCAAAAGAGTCTAGACCTGTGTCTTCGTTAATGTGTAATAGTTATAGAGCATCCTAGGGAGTATCAAGCTCCTCTTTTCTTGATCTCTCAAGACTGGTTGTGAATTGACCACCCGTGGGTGCTATAGTAGTTCTCTACGGTGGACTCGTTGGTCATCCATGGATGTGACTAGCAAGCTCGCTGCGACTATCCCATATAGGACGTCGACACACGAATCCTATGTTGTCTTCGGTTTCCTGCTGACTATTCACTCCTTCGAATATCTTGCTGCTTGGCAATTGATGACAGCTGGTATATGGGATGAGTAAAGAGGTGCATGGAGTTAGTATGGGTATGGGGTACCCATGTAGTCCAGAGTGGACTAGTATGAATAAGGTAAGACTCTTCGATGCAGCCAATCAGAGTGCTTGCATTATCCGGAAATCTGTTGAGTCGGTAACACAGCAATTTTCACGTGAATATATCCGGAGCAATGCAACCCTCGTAAACACAGTCTTGGAAGGCCTGAATGGACACTGTAACTTGATGTATTATAACGCTTGACCGGAGACATGTGGAAAGGCTGGGCGGCATAACGAGCCTCGGCCTACCCTTGTTTACAGGCAGCACTGCGAGCCACTGGGGATCACTGGGGTAAGCTGAGGCTTGTGCAGCTGCAGGTGGCGGGCGGGATCAGGGATGCAGACCCCACACTTTGCCCCCTTTAAGGACCCGTGAACCTTTCTAGATGCCGACTGTCCACTCCACTCACCACCACCAGTCTACCACCACAAATATTACAGTAGTGAGGATGCGGGGGACTGTTAGTCCTTCACATTCACTCCAGAGCATCATGGACTACTCTCTTAGTCTCGTCACGTGGCGCGGATCCTTCTACTGCCAAACATTTGAACATCCACTTGCCCGTGGTGCTGTTCTTTCGCCTTGCGCGGCCTTTAACCTCCAACCCACTCCCACAAACATCACCACGGAATCTCTATCATGGCCACAGCTACCGTGACTGGGAAGATTCCAAAAGCTTCGCCACCGTCCGCTCTGCCATCAAATGATCCTCTGACGCCTGAGCAATGGAAGACATTTCTGGCAATTTCCGATGCCTTCGTCCCAGCTGTGCAACCAAAGTCCAAAGCGGACCCTATGCACCAACTCGCTGTGCCCGACGATGAATACTCACGAGCGATGAGCGTGCTTGAAAGAATCACGCCAACAGAGACCGGGCGGCTGCTTGTGGACAATTATCTTCAGGAATCGCCAGGAACCTCAGAGGCTTTCAGGAAGGCCGTCTACCGGCTGATGAGCTTCTTTATGGTCCCAGACCAGAAGAATCAACTGATAATGGTGCTCAACGTGCTGAAGTGAGTGCAACATTCTACATGCTTGTCTTGAATGGCGGCTAACCAGTCCTCAGCTATCGAGCTGGCTCGCTTCTCTTGACTGGTTCAACAACACCCATCAGTGAACAGCCTGTCCACGTGCGCGAGCAGATCCTGCGTGGATGGGAAAACTCTCGCCTGCCACCTCTCCGACTACTCATGCGCTCGCTTCAGATGCTAACAAAGCAGTCATGGATACAGACCAGTCCTTCCATGGGGCCTTTACTTGGCTATCCGCGAGTGCCAGTCCATGGAACACCTGGAAAAGGATTCGAGTACAGCTTTATTCAGATGCCACCTGGCGATGGACCGGAGATCATCGAAACTGATGTTGTGGTTGTCGGCAGTGGATGTGGAGCCGGTGTGAGCGCGAAAAACGTGGCAGATGCTGGTTACAGAGTCATTGTAGCCGAAGCCGGCCACTACTGGCCCCCAGAACATTTGCCCATGACCGAGCAAGAGGGACAGACGAATCTCTTCATGAACGGTGGTTTAATGCTCTGTAAGCAGCCAGATATTAGAGTGCGAGGAGTTCAGACTGACCACATATTTAGCCGACGACCAGTCGATTGGCGTAGCTGCAGGTCAAACATGGGGCGGCGGCGGTACAGTCAACTGGTCGGCGTCGTTGCAAACGCAAAGTTTCGTGCGTAAAGAATGGGCTGACAGTGGCCTCCCATACTTCACATCCGCAGAGTTCCAGGCAGACCTGGATACCGTATGTAATAGAATGGGTGTCTCGACCGACTTCATACAGCACAACCAAACCAACCAACTGCTCATGGAAGGTGCCCGCAAACTCGGGTACGGCCACAAAGCCGTTCCGCAGAACACTGGTGGAAAGCAGCATTATTGCGGCTACTGCACACTCGGTTGCGCATCCTGTGAGAAGCAAGGCCCCGTAATCTCCTATCTTCCAGACGCTGCACGCGCTGGGGCACAGTTCATTGAAGGGTTTCACGTCAAAAAGGTACTCTTCGAAGACAAGAAAGGTGGCCGTACCGCCGTGGGTGTGCAGGGAATATGGAAGTCGCGTGACCTGAACGGTGGCATTGAGGGCCCCTCGACGGTCATTCGCGACGTGATCATCAAGGCAAAACGTGTCATTGTGTCTGGTGGAACCATGCAGTCCCCCCTTCTTCTCATGCGCTCCGGCCTTAAGAACTCAAATATCGGCAAATATCTTCATCTACACCCTGTCTCATTCCTCGGTGCCATCCACGAGCGCGAGATCAAGCCGTGGGAAGGTGGTATCCTCACTGCTGTCGTCTCCGAATACGAGAACCTGGATGGCGTAGGCCACGGCGCGAAGATTGAAGCTACAAATATGCTACCGGCGACTTGGCTACCATGGGCAGCCTGGGACGGCGGACTGGGATATAAGATCAACGCCGCGCGCATGAAGCACATGGTCGGCTACATCTCCATCGCCCGCGACCGCGACACAGGCAGCGTCTTCATTGACCCGAACGATGGCCGCTGCCGCATCAACTACCATCCAAGCGCCTTCGACAAGAAACACATCATGGAAGGTGTGATTGCATGTGCAAAGATCCAGTACATCGCTGGCGCGACAGAGATCTTCACCACCATTCCCCACGTGCCTAAGTTCGTGCGTAATCCAGCAAACGCAGGCCTCGGAATCAATGACCCGGAGTTTGTCGCCTGGTTGGCAACAGTACGGAGAGCAGGGTTTCCGAGTCCAGAGACGCTGTTCGTGAGTGCGCATCAGATGGGCACGTGTCGCATGGGCGCCAGCAAGGGGACCAGTGTGGTGGATCCGAAGGGCAAGGTCTGGGATACACAGGGGCTGTATGTGGCAGATGCGAGCGTGTTCCCGAGTGCAAGTGGTGTCAATCCGATGATTACAAACATGGCGATATCAAATTATATCTCGCGGAACGTGGTGGCCGGATTGGCAGACGGGATTAGGGGGAAGCTGTGATAGTTTGTCGAAGGCCGAGGATCGAGGAGTTGAGGTGCTGAGGTGCTGAGCATTCTAATACGGTGTTTTGTTGTATATCTGTATGTATTTTCTCACGGCTGTATCTCGTAATCACGTTCATGAGATCATATGCTCTTTTGTATTCAGTTACGGTAGGTGCACGTGCTTCACCTTGGCTTAATTTCACAAAAGAACTGGCTGAGTCGTTCATCTCTATCATTATCATTATCATCAACACCACCACCATCTTTGCATCATCGTCATTTCCCATCGTATAGCATAGAATCAATTGCATCCATGTCGAATCCATGCAGGGACTTGGGTCTGATTGGCTGCTCGCGCGGCCAGCGAGACCAAGCAAATGGACCACGTCAATCCCGCATGTAGGTAACCTGTAGCCTGGTACACTGGCAAACTGCATACCAGAAGTATTACCTATAAGATCAAGGACTTGCAAAGTTGACAATGGCGAATCGTCGGTCGAAGAAGGGAAACAAGCCCAAGCAGAACTCTCAGACAGCGCCGACGCCATGTCCAGTGCTTCTAGAAGCTCCTCTCGCTCCGACAATGCCAAACTCTGCTCGGTCAGTTCAGGACGATATTCATGACGCGGTGTGCTTGCTTGCACTTGTTCGACAGCGAGGACCGGATATTGGTGTAGGTAATCAGAACAATGACCAGGGTCAAGAGGGGGTAGCATACTCGGACTCTGCCTCTGACGTTACCGGTGGAAGCAACGACGATGGATGCGATCAACTATACTCAAGTAGCCCAGATCATCACGACGGGCAGCATTTAGATGCCCTGCGAAACAAACTATTGGACCGTTTGGCGGAAGTTCTCGCTAGGTATAAGAAGAGCAACCATGCATCCGGATCGTGCGATTCGAAGCATGTAGCCAGCACCATGATGGTACTTGACCAGGACAAAGAGGGTGTCAATATCGTGTGTTCTAAGAATGAGGGTCTTGATCAAACAGACCTTGCTTTTCTGCGTGACTGGACCAAGCTGATGATGGAGATTTCGCAAACAGGTAAGAAAATTAACAAGTCTATGCTGATATTCTTCCCTGTATACTCACAACTCTTCAAAGGCAAAGCGTCATCTTCCCATAGAACCCGAATGTCGACTCTAGTTGTAGAGCATCAACGGCCGCGGATAGAAACATATGTAAACTGGTTGCGAGCCGGCTCGCAAGCGCATATGGTGAACACTCGAACACCTTCAAGTTCTGATGTGTCAAGACACGACCTCACTTCAGACAGGCTAGATGCCCACTCAAGGATGTATTCAGCTCCTGATCCTAGACTGTGGACAGACGACCATGGTCTCCAGTATGACATACGCTGCATCTACAATCCTTCCAAGCCTGGCCCTTCGCTTGCCGCCGCGTCAGGAGAAAGCTTACGGGATATTGACAAAACATTGACCGAATTCTTCGCTGACATCGAGTTGATGAAAAATGCTACTCAGAGTGCGAGATCGAACAAACTGAACGCTAAGGTGTCCCAGACAGCTCTGCAGTTGTGGGCAGGAGCTCGAAAACGTGCCTCTCTTTTGGCACGACTTAGAAAAACTTTCAGCAATGACAAAGTTCGAAGCCAAATATTGAAGGCTATATGCTCGTTGGCCAAAGTCGCTCACGCCGTTGATAGTTTTCTGCTAGGAGCAGAAGTCTTGGTAGAATTTCGAAATACGACTTATGTGGCTGTTGACGCACGACCAGTTGAGCTCTCTGACCTGCTTACGAAAAGGGCAGTACCATCTACTCTGCAATTGACAGAGCGACTAGGGATACCAGTACGCCGTTCTGATTGGAAGTCAAAACTTGAACACAAAGAGGCGAATCTTGCTCGGATTTGGAAACAGCGGTTGAAGCACCGCCACGTTCACGCGGAATTACAAATCTTACACTTTAGCGAGTCAAAAGCCATGAAGGCCACCCAAAGAGTGCATAAGTATATAGGTTGCAGTAAACGATGTTGTTTCCTATGCGACCACCTTCGTTTGGCTCATGGACAGTTTCGCGTCCGGGGTACTCATAAGACTATCATACATCGATGGCATATACCATACCGAGCAAGCGACGAAACTATACATATGAATCAGAACACTCTGAAAAATTTCTTCGGGCTATTAAAATTTGAGCTTCAGACAGTTTTCGATGGCCGTGTTGTCGGGCCAGAGCAGTCAATAGCACAGTCGTCTTTGGCTCTATCAACAGCGCAACTAAACTCGGAGGAAGAAGAACGGGTTTCGATGGAAGAATGTCATCGAGACATAGAGTACGAAATCTCACACGCACTGGAAGATCTTGGGGCTAATTATAACGCAGTGCAATCTTAGGCGGCTGCGCAGTGTTTAGTGTGGACAACATTTCCTACATGCCCATACATGGTAAACCTGGGTTTGCTTACGTTATGGGCGGACCACATCGGAATAATAAAATGATGGCTATAGAGGAAGCTGAGTTGCTCAAGACGAATTCCATTCGTGCGAAGCTGGGTCTTGAGAAGCTTGGGTTCTCCGAATCGAGGACACCATCACCTCTATTCCGAACGTGCAGGCTTTGTCAGAAACAGAGTAGCTTTCGCTGCAGTCGCTGCCGAGCCCCTTATTGTTCACTCCAGTGCCAGAGAAGACACTGGAGGCTTCATGTGTTCCACTGCTCTGTCAAAGATCGACCTAACCCATTCGATCATCTTTGGCTTCTGGTTCGCCTGTGGCCATCCGTTGCGCAAGAGTCATCTTCTCGCACGAAATTGATCGAAGCTCTCTTTGCCGATGATGACCTATGCAGAACGTTTGGATTTGTCAACTGCGAGTCAACGGAAGATATAGTCAATCTTTTGTGCATCTACGGGCGGCTGATCAGGGCAACAAAATCTCAACGCCTTCAGTATTTTCTCGGACCAGGCATGTTGGAAAAAAACATCTCCAATTTCGTCGAAATAGAATCGACCTCCTCGAACAACACCAAAGCATGTAGATGCGTGCAGTGGTATATCGAGCGGCATAGAGAGGGCTTCAATATTCCTGACTACGAGAGTAAATATCAAGGTTGGTGGCATGGGGTTGAAATAACCCATTTTATGTTTCAAATTGACGACGAGAGACTTTCCACTTTATCAGACACAGAGTCTCAACTAACTCAACTCTACTATATCCTCTTTCGCGATCATGGATATCGAATCACTCCGCACCAGGGATCTTTATGGATGAAGTTCGGATTCTGCTTTTGCAAGTCAGAAGAGCAGAACGAGACTCTCGCTGAAGCGTATATGCAGCTTGTAGTCCGCGAAGTATCGCTCAAAGACATCACCAAAGCTTATGACAACGACAAGCTTCTCGACTTGATGAGCGTGAACGGATTTGACATCTCCAAATTAGTTCAGAGCAGAGTCCAACCGCGAGCCCCATCTTTTGAAGAGTCGGGAGTCTATCATCTGATGATCGAAGTCAGCCATGCTCTTTCTGGGGGGTTTTGCCGCTGTTTTCAACCGTTATGTCGTAATCATAGCAGATACGAGACCATCCTGAGCAGAGAGAGTGAAGTTGTATACGGATTCTTGGGCACAAGCGCCTGGGAGCGATGGCAGCTCTTGAACTTCTATGCCTATGTATTCAAACAGCCGGACTTTGATGCCAGAGCCATGCAGGCGGCGACACGCCGCAGAGACCAACCAGCTCACCTCGATGCCCTCACGTCCAGTGCCGACCCGGATACGGTCCACAAAGCAAGACAGACTGGGGGTCTGTCTGCATATCTCAGAACGATCGTCCCAGACTTTGAGCGCAAGATTGGCAATCCGCTCTTCGCTGGTGCGCTATTTCCGAAGCTTGGCTCCTGCGTCAGTTACCCAGAGGGCCGAGGAGTACCAGACAACTGCATGGACCACGAACTCATCATATCCGAAGGGCTGAGCGGTCCGCTCGCATGTCGCAGCTTCGAAAACAGCAGAAATGAGGATGCTGAGAGCGGGATGGATTCGTCGGACTGATGTTACATTTTTAACAAGCGGGGTATATTCTGGGAATGGTTAGCGGTGATGAGAGGGATCGTTGTAGAGGGGTGGAGAAGAATGTGTTATTTTTATGGGTCGAGTGAGGTGTAAGGAAGGTGTTGTAGTGTTATATGATGATATACCCATGCCCATGCCCATGCCCATGATGTGTTTTTGAAGCTTGGGCTATAACAAGATCGGTAGGTAGGCGGAGTTTCATTTGGACTTAATAAGAGGTGATGATAATGAACGTGTGTCTGAGACGCACCCAGCAGCATATAACTTCTATGGTCTTGGAATGAGCAGGAAAGTCAATAAGTGTGCAGTACCTTGTTACGGCTTCGCTTCCTCATGAAACGAGATGGGCTTTCCATTATGTGTTGAATATGATATATTTCCCTTACTAGGTTGGGATATATACACTCAAAATAAAAGAGAAGAAAGAGAAGAAAGAGATGGAAGAGAAGAAGAATACTAATGAATCATATCTTGTACTACCCGCATACTAGAATGACAATATAAGGTTCGCAGGGGTATTTCGGATAAAACTAAGACTAATGACTAAAACACGCGTAGATAGTCTAATAGACTAAGGCCACAGACAAAAATTGGAAACCATGTTAGTACCACAAGAAGAGAGAGGAAAATAGAAGGTTTTACCATGTATGATCCGGATTCTTACAAAAGATCAGGAAACCTTCTCACACAAAGCTCATCCACTCCCACTCTTCATCTCCCAACGACCACATTTCGCCGTCCATACAGCCGTGCACATAGGCTGCCCCGATAATCTCCCAGCCTTCATTCCTCGCCCCCAGCACAAATGGTGTTCTGCAACCCTTAAAAATACATATACTATCACCTTGCTGTGCGCGGAATGGTACCCAGCCAATTCGACCGTGGCGCGACACAAAAAAATTCCGTGCGTCACGCATCACATTCTCGATAACTTCGAAAGGACGGCTTAGGTCAGAAAGCATCTTGTACACGGCGATATCCCTCAACGAACGCGTGTTCTGCGTTTTAACCATCCATTTACGCAGCATAGTCCACCATAGGAATATCGTGGCGACTTCGGGTGAGACTGGTTTGTCGTTTGGTTTGCTGGAGTACCGTGGCCCGCGGTTATAAATGAGAGTGCGCCAGAATGCGTCGAAGCTATCGCCGGCATCGAAGTGCGAGGTGGGGGATAAGGATGGGTCTGCGAGGAGGCGTATCTCTGTAAGCCATTCAAGGAGAGATGCCTGAAATTTTGCTACCTCATGATGAGTACGAAAGATGTCAAATGGTGTCTCTCCGGTGTATACACCGGTGAAATAGGATGTGCTTGAGTCGCGAGGCCTAGGCCGAGCAATTGTACGTATTGTGTCAAAGATGCACCCGCGAAAATCTACATTCTACCGACGGCGTGAGCTCATGAATCAAGACTTCGCTTGAGACTTTTACCTCTGGAATCTGCATTTTGAATCTTGTTGAATAGTGGATAGCTCCGATGCAATCTACAGTCTCACCACTGGGAAACCTAAGCCTCAAGTGTGGTCCATGCTCGAACTTGGCGTTACCAGTAAACCGAGTGCGATACAGGTATTGTATTGGAGCGCCCATTTTAGGGACCGTGATGAAGTCCGGCAGCCATGATGGGACACCGTATGTCCTTCCATTTGGATTCGAGATGGCCGACAACCATTCAAGCTGAAACCGATGATCATCCGCGTCACCAGAGAAGTGAAGCCATTCTAGTCCATTGAGCGACTCGCTGAATTGATAACCAGGCATTCCAAGCATAGCCATCTTGCCGACGAGACTCGCAATTTCGCTCAGCGGTATGTCATAGTCAATGAAACACGGATCTAATCCAGATGATATGCCGACAAGTGCAAAGAAACGGTCTCGGGGATCTGTTGCTTGCATATCTGCATGATGGGAAAGCATTTCGTATATCGGCAGCGGTCCCTTGCTCTTGAATCTTCCAAAGGAAAGCGAAATATTCTGTGCATATAATTGTGACGTCTCGGGACATCCAAGGAGCGTATTGAAAGCATTGGCCAAATTACGATGCAAGCCTATCAGACTAGCTGTCCACAGGATGATTTCAGGGTCGAACTCCAGAGTGCCTTTCCACATGGTGGATTCTTTTGCAACAAACAGCTCCTGAAGGACCCAGATTCGACTGAACCAGGGACTTCGCATGATGTGAAACAGAGCTATCCACGCGCTATTGCCACGAGCACTCCCAAATGGTGGAACAACACCATGCAAACGAAAATCAAAATCCTCATATGCATATCCATGACGCTTGGTAGTCTTAGTGCTAACTCGGCATTTATAAAACAAGTGCTCTGCTAGGACATAGGCCGCCGCATCGGAGAGGCTTCCAGTGCCCAACCATATGATGACCTTCTTAGCACCGGCGTAGATTTCACGCATGACGCGCACCTGCCGAGTCTTCTCATCGTCATCCGTCTGGTTAATGCAGATTGCATCAGCCCAAAGCCAGGTCGTGACATCACGTCTGCGCCGCTCACAGAGCGCAGCATGAAGGTTTCTGCCAATGTCAAGGACCAGTCCATTGCAGAGAACTTGCTCTTTGTCTGACGTGTCGCCCCAGGCATAGGAAAGTGCCTCGTATGTTGCCTCAGATAAGTGCTGCTGGACGAGGTCGAGCTCGAGGACATCTTCATTGGATGCGTTACGGACCTTGAGGAGCCGTATGTGCCCATCTAGCAGGGCTGGCTCGTAGGTGTATTTCTGGAGTCTTTGAAGTTTCATCATGCCGTACGATGGGACGGCGCCATGGTTGGAATGTGATGTTAGGGAATTGTAGAGGACCTCCAAAGGATTCTAGCGATGCATCCGATAGTTGTTGCCTTGGGAAGAGTTGCTTTGTTCCCGACAAGGCTCAGTGGGCGCCACTGTGAGGCGCAGCACGTTGACAGCTCATCTGCTCGTGAGTCTGCATCATATTAGGGAAACAATATGGAAATACTACATCCGATGGTCTTTACCCAGATGTAGATTTGCGATGGTTTCGATGCTGTTGAGTCGAAAGAACACAGGGTGACGTGTGATTGCCTGGGGTCCGTATATTACGCTAAGCCTATTCCGGTCTATAATCGAGTGGAATTACAGTGCAAATGGTAATAAAACCTATGCTTTGATCTGCCTCTCTTCCAACCATTCCTTGATAATCAATCCCACTTCGTCTGGCTTCTCAAGAGTGCACCAATGCCCACTGTTGATCTCCTTCTTAGTGGCATCTTTATACAGTCCAGCTTTCTGGCCTTGATCAAAATACGCCGTCAGGCAGATCGCATCCTCATCACAACCGATAAACAAATGCGGAATCTTCAGCACGTTCAGGCTCCTGTCAATCTCTTTCTCCACTTCGGATTGGATATTATCCACCATCGCATGGTACCAATTGAAAGCTCCCACTAGTCCATCCCGCTGGATCCTGGCGAGGAATGCTTTCTTCTTCGCCTCGTCTTGCGCAAAAGGTTTGAGCTCAACAATGGTGTCCTCTTCCAAGAACTTCCTCGTGGCGCCTTTCATGCAAAATGTCCTGCGGGCATGGTCTGGGTCCTTTGCATGCAACGAGCACCAAAAACTGTCCAGATGCGCTTGCACAACATCGTTTGCGTCCGGACTAGTGAAAAATTCCCAGTAAGAATAACGGGGGAAGCCCGTTGCGGATTCCAGCATGGCATTCACGGCATCCAAATTGAAAGGCTCATCATGAGGAGGCATAAACACGACGCTGAGCAGAATCAATGCTACAACGCGAGATGGGTGCCAATAATACATGCGCTGCGCCATGTAGGAACCTAGGTCGTGACCGAGGGAGATGAATGAAACGACTTTTTCATGATCGAGAATCTCAATAATATCTTGAGCCATATCTTTGGAGTTGTAGAGTTGCTTGTCCGTGGGTTTATCCTGTTGACCGTGAGTACCGAATCCGATTGTTGATCAATCATAACTTACTGTATCCCCATACCCGAGGAGATCCGGAATGATCATTCCATGTCCAGTTGGAATGATGTGGCCAACGACGCCTTCGTACAAATGCGCATCATCGGGCCATCCATGATGAAGAACAATGGTAGGCTTGGTGACGTCTTTGCCAGGGTAATGATAGTAAGTGTACGTGAGGCCACGACTTGTTTTGAGGGTTGATTTCTTGAATTGATCCATGGCTGTAATTACAGAGTACCTAGGTGTTTAGATCTCGAGATTATGAAGGGTTCGAAGAATGAACCGTTGCGGGACTCTGCGGCTTTAAAAGGAATGTGCCATCTTCATACTCTTGGCGTCGCGGACTAAAGAGCAACATGTCTCTTTAACGGCCGAAAAAATAGCTGACTTGGTGCAAGCAGTCGAGAGAGAAAGACCCCTGTAGTTGAGCCTCCAGGTGACAACGGTATCGTTGTTGATAGGTTCCGGTCCAATTGTTTGACCTCGGCGGACCCCACCAACGTCGCGTCTGGGCACAGTACTAACGTTAAAGCGTAGCTTCACCGACGAGGCGCGGGAGCTGTTTTCTACACGCCTTGAAGAACGGCCTTGAGTACCACTCGCAATCGGAGTTAATGGCCTGCCTGTACTTCCAGGGCCATGGTTATTGCTAATGATTTAAGACTAGGGATAATCCACCGCTTTATTATGTCTTACAAGCTTACATAGACATGAGATGCCCCTCCAGAGGTAATAAGCGAATCTAAATATAGTCGGGGGAAGAGAACTGTGAGCATGAACGAATGAAAAGACTGACTGAATTTTGGCAGTCACTGTAGTGAATACATACATGCCAGATAGTAGTGCTGCCGTCTGCGGATGGGCCGATCACTCCACCACTCCACCATTCCACTAGAGTGAGAAGGAAAGAGCTCCGGCCAACCGTGCAGACCTCGATTGTCGTTCCATGCAAAATTAATTGCTCAGCCGCAAGCACAAAGAATTGAACATGGTGCTTACAACAAGGCTATAGGTATATCTCAGGGCCAATTGTAGACATGTGCAGGCGCCGTGTAAGACAGTAAGATTCCGACATGGAATGTGCTTACTTTGCGAACAGTATGTAGAAGCCGATCAGAATACTGCCAGTATCGCCCTAAGGATTCGGTACACTCTCATGATAGTCTACATTCTCGCCTACGATTCTTCGCAGGGATACCCATATTCTGCAGATCTTTAGCAGTGATCCCCACCTGTAAGCTGCATCTCTCTTATAGCGATGTGACCAGCTATGGTCGATCTGCTTTGGACAGCTGTACTGTGGGTATAAAGATAGAAGTTTGCCGTACAAGTGGGTGAACTTCCGCAAGGTATCTCTCCATACAGTCCGGAAAGCGTAGGCTAAGCAAGCACATTGGCTTGCTGCTAAATGGACATGACCGAGGGACAGCCGGAGAAGCCTCCATGGGTACTATCGAGGATATTTCATCGACGTCTGGGAAATAAACCTCTCGACGGCCGGACTCACAACAGAATGGGCAATACAAGCTCGCTAAAAATTATGCGCTGCCACGGAGAGAGGGGCTAGGCAGAGAGCACTGAACATAATCTGATAGGACTGTCTACCTGTCAAGCAATGCTAACAGCTAAATTGACCCATTAGAACTGTGACTCGCAGATCACCCAGGATAAAGAGCTGCTATCGACATGAACGCTCTAGAAAACCGGATCGTCCAGTTGCCTTTGGCGGCCTAACAAGCTTGCAGTATATGCGTAAACTGGAAAATACTGAAGCTGGGTCTGTACTAGAATCCCATTCATTGGAGGATGTCACCATATGCCCCAAGAGCTCGAGGGCAGTGAAATTCATGCAGATAATTGCTATCGAGAACAGCAACGGGTATTATGGTCACTTTACCGCCCTCAACAGCAAGTCCATCGATGTCAAACCGCGGCAAACATTTCGGAGTCAGCCGTTGAGGATCGCACCTGCCGTGATCAACGCGTCTCCGCAAATACCTGCGTAAAGTCCACATTCACCGAGGAAAGAGCGCAACCATTCTCGTGAGAAGCCATATGGTGTCAATGTCAAAGAGCGATGATGAATGTTGGCCTGGGTTCATGTAATTCTGTGGCACGTAGAACGCGCTTCAACGAATCATGGGTCGAGTTGTAGACTTGACGCATTACACGAGCATGACCACATCTTGAAGGTCTTGCCTCAGAACTCGGGAGCAGCATCCCGAAGTCATGAAACCAATGATGGTGTTCATGATATACCGACTGTTTTCTTTGTCAGATATGGAAAGCTCAACGCGTCTCTCTGCGTGAAACGAGGATTGATCCACTTTAACGTTCCATGTTCTAGACCGAGCTCGGACCTTCGGAACGGACAGATCTGCTCTTCCGATCCCGACAACTCAGTTAATCATCTATTCGTTCTCATCAGATGATACGTCGATTCCTTTTCTCATGGCCTTCTGCTTGTGAAAGACGTTTTTACATTCCTGATGTTGTAGGTCGGCTTCCATATTGAACGCCGTGGCCTATACCCGCGCTTCCGGCTTTAGTACAGTATCTACGCGCTTTTCATGTCAGCCCAATTTGGCGACGCGGTGCACAAAAAGGTCCGTAAAGGCACCCGGAGTTGTACGGAATGTAAGTCGACGAAAATAACACATGAATCACTCACTCAGCCATGTAGGCCGGCGTAGAAAAGTGAGATGCACTTGGTCATCTGATGATGCGCAAATCTGTAGGCGATGTGAAGAACGTGGTACAACTTGTGTTGCGCAGATATACAGCTCTGCTCCTGTACGGGAGCGGAAATACAGTTCCCGTGACCGGATCTCGCAACTAGAAAACAAGATCTCCAACCTCACCAGGGCTGTTCGGAACATCGAGTCAAAACTTGGCCACGAGCACACCGAGACCCCCGAGTCGCCCCGAATCGAGACTCGAGGATCACAAGACATAGCTGATTCCGAAGACGATACGGATTCGTCCGAGAACTTTCCCAGCGCGCGACCAGAGCATCTTGAAAATCTCTTCAAAAGCGACTGGATGACATCGAAAGCCATCCATGGCCGAGTCTATGAGCCAAAGGGAAAATCGCATACTCATCTCATAGATGCGGCACGAAATGCTTTACAGCCGCTCGTACCAACCAAGGAGAACTTGACTTCTATAGCGAGTTTTTCATCTAAGTGGATTGCGTTACAGCAAGCTCTGTTTCCCACAGGACGTATTGTAAAGTCTCAAGAAGAAATGCTGGAGAAGTACGATACCATGAGATCCCCCGATGTCGACATCTATGATCTCTGCCAATGGCTACTTGCGGTAGCGCTCACAGCACAGCAAATTCCTGACGACCAGGGAAGTCCAACAACACAGGCCAGACGATATCAATCAGCTGCGGCTTTCTCACGTGCCGTTTGTGATGCAACATTGAACACGATATTCAACCAAGACTCACTATTGGGTACTATTGAGGGACTTTCAGTATCAATGTCATATTTGCGCCTACAATTGACCCGAGGCTCCTTTCTGAGGACCTACCTTCAAAGTCGGCGTGTGATAGCACTCGCGGAGCTCCTCGGCTTGCCGAGAATCGCTCGCAATGTGCGACTCGGGAAGATCAAGATATCCTCCGAAGCTGATCCGAACTTTTCAAAGACTGAGATATGGGAGTCATTATGCGGAATGGACAGAGCTGGTGGCATGATTTACAATGTACCCGTGACAACTAAACGATACCGCACGCCCTCTGTCAAAGACCATCCAGTTAGTATAAACGGGGAGATCCAATGCAAGATCTATATGGCAACCCTCTCAGACCTCTCTCTCCGCCTTCAGGATCTCGATGACATCGCATATGAAGAGGGCGAAGAGTCTGAACTCTATGCCGAAGTGCTTAAGATCGATAGTGAACTGAGAGCTCTTGCATCCTACACACCACATGGTTGGTGGGACCTACCTCCAGATGGGGAGAATCCAGAATGTCATTTACAATTCTGGCATCTATTCATCACAATGAGAGCTCATCTACCATTTCTCCTCCGGCGAGACCCATCAGACAAGTATGCATACAGCAGAATTGCTGGGATGGATGCCTGCAGGTCCGTGTCGCAGCGATACCTTCATATTCGACGAGCAATTCCTTCAGGCTTCTTCATCTGCAAGCCCATGGATATGGAAGGATTTATCTCTACAACTGTTCTGCTTCTGGCAACCCACAACATCCGCTTGACGAAACGGCCAAATGAGACTATTGACGTAGCTGAACTCAAGGCGTTGATCCTAAATATCATCGAGCTGATGAACGATAAGTCAAGTGATGCCATCGGATCTGATATAGCACGTCGCGGCGCTTTAGTCCTTCGATCTTTATACGACTGTCTGCTGGAGGATTCTGAGGGGAAAAGTACGCCCGAAGAGTTGACCGTAAAGGTGCCAATCCTTGGCCAGATCCATGTACAACGAAACCCAAAACCAGTGAAACCAGTGCCTCAGGCTCCCGTAATGTCCACGCCAGTGAACCAGCCGGCGACATGGCAAGGAACAGCGGCCTTTCCAGAAATGTCGACCGCCAATGAAGCCTTCATGGGAGGGGTTTCAACTACAAACACGGGATGGTCCGCCGATCCATTCTCTTGGTCCATAACGCACGGCCAGGAAGCCTTTTTTCAAGACGCGCTGATGACAGGCAATTTCGAACAATTCACAGGCGCTCTTGTGACAGATCAGACCACTTCAATGGATTGGTTGGGCACGACTTGGTCTAACGCAGGCTGATGAAGCTATAAGGGATGATTGCCGTACTTAACAGTTTCGCACGTTCTAAAGCCACAGAGGTCTGAGAACCGAGCTATCCATTGGGTATGAGCTGTATCAACGCGTGCAGTTCCTTTCTATGGTCTCGCTGGGAATGGCGCAGCCACGCATGAGTGTTCTCCATTGCCACGAAGACAGCACGATGTTCCAGCGATGTGAAGGTACCTGCCTAGGTCACACCTCTGGCATTGCGGAAACAGGAAAGCACCTACCACATTTCTTTGCAGTAGTGTGTATACACATCGGACTCAAATTTTGACTCTCGGAGCAAAAGGCTTCAATAACCCACATCCCTATACTGCACTCGCTTAGACATCATCATCCGTACGTAGACCATATTCAAGTACGCGGCGGACTTCATTCGTTTTGGACCATAACATTCGCTATACCCGATGCCGGACCAACTATTTCCACGACCGTATCTACCAAGATTGCCCAGCGGCTCCATACCCGTCCTGCAACGTATCAGTAGCGACAATACTGTCAACTCACGGCCTCAAAACATCCCGAATCCGGCTTCTCAATGGCATCACTACCCATATCCACCATCTCCACAGCCTGTATTTCATGACGTCAGGCAGCAAGAAAATATCCCACCCCAAGCTACAGGTCACCCCCACTCGGCGCGCCAATACGTGATATACAGCCCTGATGGACGACCACAGAGCAGGGAAACAATATCACCAGAGGGAGCGCACGTAACGCTGTTCGAGCAGTTGCAGGCAAGGTCAGAGACAATAACTCCCACAACAAATCCGCCAGATCTGAATACGACACACCGTGAGATCGAACAAAATGCAAGGACGGACGGCAGTGCTCTGAGGCAATTGGGCGTCCCAGACCCTCGGCCAGCTATAGGCACGGGATTAATGGATAATTCAACGTATACTTCACTCGCTCATATACCGCACCAGTCTCGAAGTTTCCAGCCAGGTACACCTAGTACAAACCACGCAGATATTATGAGCGGCACTCCACAAGTCATCATGAGCGCATACAATCGAGCTCTCGCTCTTGCGCGACATATAGGATCACGTCAAGCTGTGGACCTCATCGAAATATACTCACGTTTGGATACAAGTTCTTTCGGACCCGCACAGCTCCAATACTTGAACGCATTGTTCCGTAGGCTGGTCCTTAATGCTCAAGCACTTGAGGAGACGGCAATCTCAAGAGCACACTCTTTCGGAGGATTGGAGAGTGGGCAGTCTACTGAGCGCATTGTACAGCCCTTTAGTCATGCACCAGAACCATCGTCATCATCGCCAATGTCATTAGACGATCGAGACGAAGGATACAGCTCCGCAGGACGTTTCGAATTAGACGAGTACGACCGTGAAACCGCAAGGAAAGGTTTGATTTGTTTCAGGGACTGCTGCATATGCAAGAAAATGGTTACAATAGGTCATCTCGTGGCTTGTGGGCACGACAGATGCGCGGGTTGCGGTATCTTGGAGATAAAATTAATACTTGGCGTCACGATGTGGAGGTGTATTCGCGTAAGAACGACATCTCCGCAAATGTTATTACGATGATGAAGCGTTTTTTTTTGTTTGTGCGTGTGTGTGTGTGTTGTTTTGAATTCCAGACCCAACGTACCTTATCAGAACTCTCAAAAAGCTTTCTCGCCTGGAGTAGTCATACCAATAATACACCCCAAAATAATGCGAATGTCAAAACGAAACTGTCTCTTGACGGCTAGTGTATCACACCGCCCTTGTAACAAAGTATAGGACAAGGTCCATGAGAATATTGACACTTCGCACTGTGGCACCCTAGAGCCAGTACCGACAGTATTTTTTCTTCCGGGTGCTGATCTACGCTATCATACACACAATGGATAAATATAACATGATGTTCTTGGTACAGAAGGACGATGCGAATGCAAGTGCTCGTCTCCGCATTCATTTAAACTGGTCTTTGCACGCGTGGCTATCTTGGCGAGATGTATCCATGCTCTAATCAAGGTGATAGAGCCTGCTGAAATTGACGGCATGGCTGTGCTATGATGAGGGCTAGTATCCAATGGCTGCAGTAGAGGTGACGAGAGCACGGAACACATGCGGGGGATTGCACTTTATGGGGTGGTCGCGTCGTGATTATTATCGGAAGGTACTTTGAGTGAGAGACACTGCTTCCTAAACGGGACTAGTGTCTAAACGGTTAAATAGCTTCGACTCTATCTCCTAGAACTTAGTTCTCTATATATAATTATAGAATATATTTAATAACCTTAATTATATCTACTTTCTACTTATAATAGATTATAAGCCCGGCGCTTTACTATAAAAGCCTTAAAATACCTCTTTATTAATAAAAACTATTATATTTTAATAAAAGTAAGTCCCTTCTCTAAAACTTAGTTATCTTATTAATCTTATTAAAGTTTTACTTTAATTCTACTATCTTATTAACTCCCGGTCTCTATATTATTATCTATACTATAAAGAGTAAAGACGTGGAATAGTAGTCTAACAGTTTATAGAGAGACATAGGAATATATTTATAGAGTAATCTTACTCTTATACGAGGTTAATTCCTAACGAGTAGGAATTAGTTTATACGGTCTACTTATATAGTAACCTTACTTAACTTAGCTAACTCAACCTAGCTCTAGCCACTACGTGGCTACATGGATTAGAATAGTCTATATAGGTCCGTTATGGTTCCCGTCCTAATAATATTCTTCTTCTTTTTATGCTTCGCCCTAAAGTACTTAAGTATATATAATTCTAAGTCTCTATAATCTATTGTGTACCTATATATCTATAACTAAGTTCCTATGACGTTATAACTATCCTTAATATAGGTAAACTCGAGATTCTAGTTTACTTTTATTAGTTTATACACGCGCTTATCCCTTACTTCGTGGCTACTACCTAGGATATATAATTACTACTTTAGTTAAGTATATATTTAGCTTCGCTCGCCTTTAATTTTATTCTCTAGTATATCTACCTCGCTCTTAAGGTAAGTTATTAATTTATATACTATCTTCTCTAGTTTAGGTTTAGAAGAGTCTATAGTAGTCTATTCTTATTAGAACCGGTCCTATATAACCTATTCGCGTTATTACGGTTACTAATTTAGCTTCGTTAATCGCCGTTAAGGGTAGATAAATATTCCTTCCTTAGATCTCTAGCTAACGTGTGTATATAGATATCTAATACTAGTCCTATCTCTAAGCTTGCCTCCTTCTCTCGTAAGACTCGCTCTAAAGGTATCGCCTCCTCCCCGGCCACGCCGGCTAAGAAGCCTACCTATTATAGTAGTATAAAGGCGCGCTCTAAGTCGGAGAAGAGAGTAGCTAGGGCTACTACTACTACTACTATCTCTACTACTAATATAGCTACTAGTCGCTCTAATCTAGGTAATTCTAGTACTAAACTTATGGATAAAGTAGTTATAGGTTCTCCTCTCGCTCTAAAGCGTACGCCGCCTACTCTACCTTCTCTAGAGGATAAAGAAGATCTTATTATAGATGATAATCGCGAGCCCTCGCGCTTACCTACGCTACCGCCTCGCTACTCTTCCTTCCGGTCTAATATAGACCGATTTAGTCGCTCTAGGTCCTTTTAGGACCTTAATATTCGCTCTAAACCCTAGCCTACTAATAATAAGGCCTAGGTCGCCGAGGATACTAAACGTAGTCGCGGTTTACGCCATAGGAAAACGGCGAACTACGGTTTAATATACTATAAGTATATTAAGGGCTATATAGCCGGCTCTAAATATCTCTTTCACTCTAACTCTAGTATTAGCTACTACTCTACTAACCGCGACAGGCCTATACACCCTATCTTTACTCTACCTACCCGCTACCGCTGCTATACTATGACTAGTAAGACTTATCTATAGGTAAGTATAATAGACTATCTTAATCTAGTATAATCTAAAGTGGTCTACGCTAATATATTCTTAGGTTTCTATATGTATATAAGATATATATAACGACCTTCGCGTCCGCGAGACCCTTAGGGGTCCTTATAGCTATCTATCTACTATATAGAGGGAGTTTAGGGAGCGCTATAAGCTCTTCCTAGAGGTTATTAAAGTATAAGTTACGAGCACGTTAATTATTTTTAACACCTATTAATTTTTCTAGCCGCCGTAAGATCCCTAGCGCCTAGGCTATCTATTCTAGGGAGTCTATTCTAGCTATAGAGGCCGTAGAGAGGATTCGCTCTATCCCCCCC